TATATATGGTTCATGTAAATCCACTTTTGAGACGTATGTGTACTTAATGGAGCTCCCCTGTTAGTTATGCATTATAAAACGTGTTTTTACAGCAAAATCACAAATATGCTATATTATGTAGGTCACAGACAGGGTTTAGATTAAGCCGGGATTAGGCCATAGTTCAACTAGGACATTTAAGTAGCTTTTATAAACGTGCCTTGGATAAAAACACAACTGATGTGCATCTTGAGACAAAAAAAATTATTTTAAGATCAGCCAGTTCAAGTTGCTCTCAGTTAAAACAGCCCAGACATGCATTTTAGTCTGGGACTAGTCTTGACCAGCCTTGTCTGTGAAACCGGGGGATAGCGTCTTTACACCTTTTGCTTATATATTGCTTACTTTACACCTTAGTTTTAATACATTATTAACTCCATAAACAATACCACTGTATGAAAATAACTTGCACACTTCAATTTGAACGGTTATTGAGGGACAAAGAAAATTCTCACCGTTGTCTCTGTACAAGCGGCCATCTTGCCAACAACATCTCGTTTTGACATCTCGCGTGGTTCTGTGTGATTTGGACAACTTCAAGTTACGCCCCCTTCTTCAAGTTACGCCCCCTTCAAGTTACGCCCCTCTCTTGCAGTCCGCAGACAGACACTCTTGGCTGGCAACGCTACAACGCCACACTGCTTTGGGGCGTGTCAAATTTAGTGCAGAGCACGCCTCTGAAACACCCTGTTGTTTTTTAGTCTATGGTTTCATCTCCTTCCTTTCACAGCGATTGGTTGTCGCCCGGCGTTTTTCGCTCGACATTTGCATAAAGTCGAGGAATGCCCAATCTTTTTGACGCTCTCTACCGCTGTCAACGCTTTCTCCGCGCCGCTTTCCATCCCTATGGCGAGTGATTCGTGCCTTTTCTATGCTAAACAGGAGAAGGAGAAGGAGCAGTCTACCCTTCCGTCGCCGCCAGTCCGTGTAGATTTTTGAATGGGATTAATAGGGACGGCAGGCGACAGACCGGCGGCGACGTCACGGCGACGTCATGGTAGGAACTATACCTGACGGCGACGTGGCTACGGCGTATGTGAGAAATGTATTAAAATTATGTACGTCTGAACTAGGCACGTCGCCTCACAAGACGCCTAATATATACGTCGTATCAATGTACGTCGCCTTAAAATGCCTGATACATAGCCAGATACAGAACATGTATTTTTTATATGTAGTTTGTCGCAGTCTTTTTGGAAATCATTGCAGGACTGGATGGTAGAGAAGGGTGTGGTTGCTGATGGTTTCACTCTAACCTTACAAGATGTAAATTTGTTTGTATTATATCATTTGTTGTAATTATGTATTTTTATTATTTAATTTATTTTTATTTTATGTTTCTTGGAATGTTTTGTTATATGATTTGTCTGGAGCTTATTATGATTCTATTGTGTTGAGCCTTCCATACCAGAATCTTTTTTGTATACTAATTAATGCCAGTTTGTTGTATTCAGATTTTGTACTTAATAAAAAAAGACTTCGGTAGGTTATCCCCGGCATGATCCACTCGCCATAAATCCCATAATACACCGCGCGAGCGTTTAAACTCAACTTCCCTAGGAATTAATTGAAAACGCTCGCTCCGCTGCGCTCGCTACATGCCAGTGGAAATGCACAGAATTGAACTCACCAGGGAGACCCTCTATTGCATTAAGTACTCCATATCATATCATGGCCGGTTAGCTCAGTTGGTTAGAGCGTGGTGCTAATAACGCCAAAGTCGCGGGTTCGATCCCCGTACGGGCCAGTATGTTTTATAATACAAAAACACATTTATTAAAACCATTCTTTATTGTAACAGATTAAAAATCTGGATGAACATATGAGTCAATGGGCATAAAAGATTCAATAAAACGCCAATATGTAGTAGTTATACTACTTATAACAAGTGCATTTACATTTAGTAATTTATCACATTCTACACTTGTACAAAATCTATACAGGTTTAAACAAGATTAAATCCAGAATTTAATGTAAATTTCTTTGCGCAGTTTAAAAGGAAAATTAGAATTATTATTAATATGTTGTCTTTACATTAAAATCAATTTATGGTTATGCACAACGGAGTAGATTTTTTTCAACTAAAATGTATTTTACCTTTTTTGCAAATTAACACTGAATAACTTCAAATATTTTTTTTCCCCTGCCAAAGTATAACAATCTTACATATTCCTCATCCAGGTTTATTAGGAGATCAACAGCTTCATTGATCTGCTTAAGAGCTACGCAGGTAGTTGAAATACTTGGCTAATATATGATCCATGTATGATAATATATGTCCATTTTCCTGACATACATAATTTTTGCTGGTGAAAATAACCGCTAGTTTTCAGCAACACGCTATCAGCATTCACCACAAGGTCAAGAGGGTCTGATGGGGTCCTTCTATTAATTTATCCTATACACACAAGTTACATTCTCATTGGTTACTGTGAATGTGTACGAAATCAGTCTCACCACAACAAGTCCAGATACATTTTCCATTTTTATTTTCCTTTTTGGACAGTTTATTTTCCAGTGTTTTCCATAATGGTTTCCTTTGACATTTTTGCATAATTCTTATAAGGCTATTAAGAGGGCCATTGCTATGGTTTCAGACCAACCTGCATAGCAATTGGAAGACAAAAAAGGGCTGGACACGGACCCATTAGCAAGAATGAGTAACACATGACATTACTTGACATTTCATTGGCACAAAATGGTCTTTTTTTCCATCCTTCCAAATATTATAATCTTTAATAAACATGATTTCTGACTATCAAAAACAAAATTAAAAAGTACAAGCAGTTTAGTGTACGTTTTAGAGACTTTGGGAACCTTGGGACTTCCACTTCATGAGAGATTACATCCCTGGGACTTCCAAAGCAAATGGCAGTTTGAAAATACTTCTGTAGTGAAGAGTCCCTCTTTAAGATGGAAAGCTGTAAAGGCTGCATGGAATCATTTCCCAAAGTTAGGGAATTAGGAATGGGGAAAGAGACAAGTGAAATGTCTGCAACACAATGGCTACCCTATGGAACTAGACAAACGTACAGTTGGTTACCCATTTCCTATGAATAAATCTGACTTCAACCAGAAGCAACATCTTTCAGAGGTATACAGTATATTTTTCCCCAAACACCACTGCGAAGGCAACTATGAGACAGAGCAGCTTAATAAACCCAAGAAATAACCTTTGTAATGAAATAATGTTTTTGTAATGAAGTCGTATCAAAAATCACTTAAACCTGGATTGTTACAGACCTGAAACATGGCCAGGACTACTTTTGTTTTCCTTCAATTTGTGATTCTCTCTTAAAATGCAAACAGGTCGACTCATTTCATACCAATTCAGGCGTACCTGGTAGAGGCCACACCCATAATAACGATGTTTATCACCTGTTTTGATTGGGGGGGGGTTATGGTAAGTGGTCCATCCACATCCAAATGAGGGATTATAGTAAGGGGAAACAGGAGGTTGCAACATAACCACTGAAGGAGACATTTCAAAAACGTTTGGGTCCCCATGGAGATGATCTCGCATTAGTCACAGGTGCACCAAAACTGGGGAATTCCTCAGAACTGCTCATATCGGGGGCCTAACACCCAAAAAAAAAACAACAACCACGAGACAGGAGGTTAAATTACAACATTAGAATTATGCATAAATCTGTGACTTAATTTCATTCATTAACTCATGACTGATTACATATTAGTTTACCTTTTCATTGCCAGTGGCCCAAGGAGCCTCCCGCACAACAAAGCCCTTGGATGGGCCTCGAGGTTCTTCCATGCTGGAGGCAGTGGAACCAGAAGGCTTCATATAGGCCATTTTGGCTTCATTTTCAACTACATCAGACAGCTGAGGGTAAAGATGAAAAAAAAAAATTACCTTTTTGCTAATTTAATACTCTAAAATTAATCATTTAATTTAAATTTCCTCTGCTGAAGTATAGAATTATCTTACATATTCCTCCTCCAGGTTTAGAAGGTGATCAATGGCTTCATCAACCTGTTCTGGACGGCCAGTCACAGTCACTAAATTGGGATTCGCAGCTCCACTCTGAGGGAACCGAACATCAACCTGAAAAAGGTAAAACAATATATACACAGTTATTTAAAGTGTGCATTTAAGAAAAACTCAAATACACTGTATGAAAGTGATTGAAGATGTGACACATTTACCATCTCACCTTAAACTCATCCATGATTTTGCGGATTCCCTTGCCACGTGCCCCTATGACACGAGCATGGACTCTGCTGTCCAGGGTGATGTCCTCAGAGATCATCTCCTCCAGTTCATCCACTATAGCCTGAATAGCATCACGTGCTGCCACAGCATTCTGCTCATAGCCAGTAATGGTAATCTGATCCTAGAAGACCAAATCAAGGGAAAAAAAAGTTCTTGGTCATTCTTTAAAAAAAAAAAATTCATTTTTAGGCTCCAGCCTAACCTTACCTGGTTCTCATCATTTTTCTCTGGAAACTGAATGTTGACCTCATGCTCATTGCGGATTTGGGTGATTATGGCACCCTTGCGTCCAATGATCTTGGGGTGATACTTGGGATCCACAGTGATGGTCAGTTTGAAGCTCCTGAGAGCCTGTGGACAAAAATATAAATTGGTAATATATAAATCACATAATGTGTGATTACAGAGTGGAAATCATTTACACGTTTCATTTGCTATTCGGGCTTCAAACTTACCCGATCCTCCTGTTCGGACTGTAGCTCTTTGACACGCTCAAGAAGTCCCTCTTTAGCACGGTCAAGATGGGAGGCCAGGCCAGTAACAGAGATAATGTCAGACTGTAACTCATGAGCAGGCACTTGAATATTAACCTGGGAGGAAAATATATTTGTCAGGACGGCAGCAAGAAAATCTATAAGAGACCGTTAAAAACCTTTAGTTATAAATACAACACATATCTCTATAGCCATTTATATGAATTAACTGCTGATAAATGCAGAAATAGACTTGTGATTCCACTGAAATCAGCTTTAATAAGACTAACCTCAAACTCATCCATCATCTTGCGGATTCCACTTCCTTTCTGACCAATGATGTAGCGATGCAGCTCAAAAGGCACTTCCACCGTAATGGTCACAGGAACCAAAGCCTTTAGAACAAATATTTGTTATAGCATTTGACAAAACACACCAAGAACATACAAATAAGAACTACTGCATAAAAGAATTTTCACACCTTTAGTGATTCAACAGCAGCTTCACATCTCTCTTTGCGGCCAGACAGCACAATGACATCACACTTCTTTGGGACTAAAGGATCAGCAGGCTCCTTCACCGCTCCATTGGCCTCTCCATTCTCCTGAACTGGAGCATCAGCTGATGGAGCTGAGTAAAACAGAAAGGTTGCAGATTTGATCTTAGAGGCTTGCCACAAAAAAAAATAAAATAAAAAAAAAAAAAATAAATATTGCTTGTAATTGTTAATGACCACAAAAGCCTCTGCTAAATGCATAAATGTAGATGTTCAGAGGGGATTGCAGGATGCCTTAAAAGTATTTAAATTAAATTATTTAAATAAAATTGTACTATTTTAAATTAAAATGCTAAAAAAAACAACAACAAAAAAATTGCTTTCCCTCAATAATTATTGTTTTACCTGAACAATAATGTATTGTTGAATACTGATGAACATATGATTCTGGAGTCACTAGTATCACTGTTGTATAAAAGTAGGGGATAACTATGAAGATTTCAAATGGGCCATTTTTGTGCTTCAGCTTCAGTGTGTGGTCTTCTTGTACAAGGGAGAGTTGTGGTTTCTATTTCAAAAATAAGCCAAGAAACATTCGATTTTCCATGATATGACCTTTTAATTATCAATATTCACTGTAATATTTACCTTGCTGGTCCTCTCTGTCTGGAAACTTGATCTGCACATTGTGGTCTTTAGTGATCTGCTGTATGCGAGAGCCCTTAGGCCCCATTATGGAGCGGTGGAACTTCTGAGGGATCACACACTCCATGGTCACATGTGCATCCTGCAGATTTAGCAGAACATGTAGTCCATTACCTCTTTAAAATAGCACAATAACTGAACTGTCCAAGATTGGAATTGCATTGATGCATTGCAGACTGTTACATCTACTCACCAAATCCTCAATCAACTCCAGCATGCGTTTCTTCGCTGCCTCCACACACTCTTTGGCTCCCTTTAGGGTGACCTTATCGCTCTGTGAGGCAGTTCGGGGGAAACTGACTATAATGCCACCATACTCATCAGCGATCTCCCTCAGGACTTGGCCACGCCGTGCCACGAAGAACCGATGGTGCTTGGGATCGACGATCATGAAATCCTCTACAATGTTATCCTGATATCAGAAATATGATTTAAGAATCATTAGAGCAAATGGTTATATCATTTTTTTGATTATCAGTGTTGGGGTAAAAAAGATGAACATAGGGGACTAACCAAGCTCTTAATAAGTGCCTCCAGCTCCTTCTGTGCTTCTGCTACAGCTTCCTCTGTACCGATGACTGTGATCAGCTCCTGATCCTTATCTTCAGCAGTAGGGAAGATGATCCTGGCACCTGTGCTGTCCCGCACCTTGCGGATATTTCCACCTCCTTTTCCGATAAGGAACTTGTGGTATTCAGGTTTGGCACGAAGCTCAACGGTGTGGTTTTTAGTTTGCTAATAAAAAAAATTTAAAAAACACACAAACATACTTAGTCATACAATAAATGCACAGAGCTTAAGTAGATTTAATTGTTTTGAGCAATAATGACTGGCCTTGTGTTAAAAGCAGTTTGGAAACTTGTACTAAGAAATCCGGAGCCCAGATGACATTCCAAGCGAAACACCAGCATTACCAGCTTTAAGTTTCAAGTTCTTCAAGGAAACCTATCCCTTTAGACATACCTTATCTTCTGCCAGGGACAGCAGCTGTTTCTTAGCTTTCTCTACCTCCTCCACGGGGCCTCTGATCGTCACTGCATCAATGCCAGAGCCCTCTGTTGGGAAATGGATGTGCACGCCACCACACTCCTCCATTTTGAAATAAGCCTCTTATGCTTATTGCATTTGTTTTTTTAATTGTAATATTTCTTTTTTTTCCTGTGACTGCAAAACTAAATTTTCAGCAGCCATTTCTCCAGTCTTCGGGGTCACGATCCTTCAGAAATATTTAGAATGGTACTGTACTTCTGAACAGTAATATAAAGAACAACTTAACATTACAGAAATACAACAAAATAATAAAATTAAATCCTCACCAGTTCTTTCTGAATGGCCAGAATCCTGTTTTTTGCTGCCTCACAGCTTGCCTTCTTTCCTGTGATGACAATCATTTCAGAGTTGCTGTTTTCCGCAGGCAGATCAATCTTAGTGTTAGTCTCTTCACGGATCTGAGAAAGAAAAAGAGTGTCAGTTAGTAAACGGGTTGAGAATGGATAAAAGTCTAAAAAGTAACTACTTACCTTCTTTATATTTGCTCCTCCTTTGCCAATTATGTTTTTGTGGAATTGCTTGAAAATGGGGACTGAGACAGAAAAGCTGTTCTCAACCTGGAAAAGTACATAAAAGTAGTGTGGTTTAGGAAACGCTAAAATTGACATTGTCATTTCACAGACTGTTAAGGTCAAAATATACTTAATTAGTATATTATACAGCCCGTCACAGTATACTGCATTTAATAGCATGTATGAACACCGTCAGTTGACATATGCACAATATGAAGTTTCACCCTTGTCCAGTGACTCTCCAGAAGTTATGAATGTACCGTAAAAGGGTATGTGTACTTAAAAAAAAAAAA